CTAGTCCTCCCTGACTAGGGGAGCTTGCAAACACTTCATACAGGGGTGTGTGGCTGCAATGGTCAGTTTCAGTGAATAACTGTGAGCTTGGCCTGAAATTCGCTGCCCACAAACACTCCTGCCAGCGCATCCCGACCACAAAGGCTCTTGGGACAAGACCGCTAAAGGAGTGTGGGATTCCTGAACGAGTCCCAGCAAATATTCCCAGAAACCAGGTGCTGGGATTTGCCCAGGGCCAGGTCAGGTCTGGGTGCATTGTGAGGCGAGGGAAAGGGTGTTTCTAAAGGGCAGACAGCTCTGCCCAACGCTGTATATGCTGTGAGCAGAGGGGAATGTTTGCCTTTTTCATGTCTGCTGAGAGGTATCATTGCTGGCCTGCGGGGTCCCAGGAGATAGCGGCACACACCGTAGGGGGTGGGCGTGTAAGGCAGGGCACGTTTGGCTGGAGTGCAGCTGTAGTAAGCCGTATGCTTGCCAGAGACTGGAGTGAGGCGTGTGTGCCAATCAGAGGGAGGGCAGGAGTCGGGGGTTCTCTCTTTTTCAGAGACAAAGCAGGCAGTGAGCTGGAGAAGGAGTGGAGGTGGGAGAGGAACAGATACATGCCTTTCCTCACCCAGGAGCCAGCTGAGGTTTTGCTGCCTCTCTCTGTGGCTCAGACTCTAGGGTCTAATTGCTCCTAAAACACTGCATCCTGGGTGCGTGTACACAGAGAAAACCTGCATTAACAGCCACTGGCGCTAGGCAATCGGCCACCGAAGCCACAGTATGAGGTGGTCTGACTGCAGGCAGGGTACCTAGCAGCCGCTGAGCCTAATTCCCTCCTCGGACAATGCCTCTCCTTGCCACCTGGGGCCAGAGCCTTACCTGCTCAGCCTCAGTGTCTCTAGCTGTGAAGTGGGGCTAGTTCTCACCCAGGGGCCTAGTGGGGACCACTCAGTAAAGGTCTGTGGAGCACTGTGTGCTGTCGGAGTAGATCTCAGCGGGCACAGTACAGCACCCCCCAGAGGGGACGCTGTTGGGCCGTTATTTAAGATCCGCCCCTGCCGGGTGTCTGAATTTTGCTGGGCTCTCGGGTGGCTGCTTGAGGCAGGTTCTAAGGTGCTGGGCCAAGTTCCACCAGTGCAATCGCGTTAACACCTCTGGTGACCTGCAGGGCAGGAGTTGGCCACCTGGCGTTAGCGATGGCCCTGAACCACCCCCCCCCCGGGCTCCACTCCCTGTGGACTTTGGAGTGTTCAGAATCCAGCCCCATCTCGGTGACACACAGCTACCGCTCACTGCTCTGCCCTTTATAGCCGCAAGGCCCCTCATCCCCTGTGTACACCTGCTGCTCAGGTGTTCCTAAGGTGACGTACCTGTGGATCACAGCCTGGGGCACCGCTGTATAGTGAAGGCATCGGGCTGCCCCAGCCGCGGAGTGAAGCCAGCGGAGCTGTGCTGAACAGACCCCCACCTTCCCCAACCTGTACCAACTGCGTCATGCTCTGTTACCCCTGGGAGAGCGAATGCTGGATTGGCCGACTCATGGCATAAGCAACCCTGCTACGAGACGGCAGTTCGTTTGGTGGTGCATCATGCCAGAGCTCTCTAGGTACCTGGTCGACAAGACGGCAGCTTGGTCCCCAACTCCTCGCTCTTCCACACCCCCTTAGCATCACAGGTGTACGTGCCTGGAAGAGAGCGAAACGTTAGCTGGGAGCATAGACGCACACCTGCATGACCAGCTGCCCTGTTGCCTATGCAGGGTTTGCACATGCAGCAGGTGCATGCGTCGTTGGCTGCGGCTGTGGGTCAGCTACGCATGTTCAGACATGCAGCCGATGGGGTGTTGCCATCAATATATTCGAGGAGCCAGAGTCTATGCTGGGCTTGCGGAGGTGCCCTGAAGGTGGAATTTGACCCTATGTGTTTGTCAGAGGGGAGATGGGTTGTGTGAAAGGCCCCTCCCCTGCCTTCCTCCCCTGAAATGATTTTGCAGGGCATGGAGAAATGACAGACGTTACTCAGACTGCACCATGGGGCATCTGCACGCCGATGTTTATGGGGATTTCCGCTCCCCTACAGCCTTCTCGGAATGCTTGTGGCATGTCACTGTCCGGTGTCCTAGTGCCAAACAAGTGGTGGCCGGAGCCCTGCACTGTCCCAGGGCACTGTGCCCATTATGCTCAGGCCGAAGGCTCTGCTGTGATCTGCTTCTCCCTGCCAGGCTGTTAGTCCCTGATAAAGTAGTGCAGGACAGATGTGCTGGGCTGGGCTGATCCAGGAAGCAACCAGCATGCCAAAGGTTATTGCACACTAGGCCCGGAGGCCGATTGGGTAGCAGCAGGATTATGGACAGGGGGGCTGGGATGTGAGCAAATCCTTCCAATCTCCACCCCTAGCCTGGAGCAGTGGGTCTGTTTTTCTGGATGGGTTTGGGGCAACCTACGAGCCGCATCCCCTGATGCCAAGGCGTGCCCAGAGGGTGGCCGTGAGAACAAATGTGGCTGATGGAGGTTGGCAATGCCACTGTCATCACTATGGAGCGGTAAGAGTATTTAAAGCGGAGCCCTGGCATGCACTGAAATCCAGGGGAGTCAGGCACCTGGTAGCGGGGTGGTTACCCCGCTCCTGGGATAAAAGGAGTGAGAGCAGCTGAGGGAGGCTGACTGAGTAGCTGGCCCCAGGTGTGGCCAGCTCAATCAGGGCACAGCTGGCCCTGATAAGAGGCCTGTGAGCCAGGACAGTCTCACTAAGGACCTGGCTGCCTGGGAGCACCGGGTCCCTTGGGCAGAGCAGTGCTGGGGAAGGGCAAGACTAGCTGGGGAGCTCCAGCCTGGCAACTCCCCAGGCTGAGGCCTTGGTAAAGGCCCAAGGAGGTACTGGGGCTGCAGAGGTGCAGCCCCGGGATAGGCAGAGGCAGCCTGTCCACCCCCCTTGCCAATGAGTGGCCATTACAGACTGCAATCTGCCCCAGAGATAGGGGGCTAGATGAAGACTGGCAGTAGCCACTGAGGCAAGGTGGGTGTAGGGGGGTTGGAGTTCCCCCAAGGGAGGGGAGACCCAGAGTGTGGGGGTACTGTGGGGCAGCCCCCCAAGTTAAGGGGCACTGGGGTCTGGGAGGGATGCGGGCCAGAGGTGGTAGAGACAGCAGGGCTGGTAGCCAAGGGAGAGAAACCGGCCAGCAGGAGGCGCTCAGAGGCTGGAAAGATCTAATTCCCGGATGACCAGCAGGAGGCGCCATGGCGGTGAGTTCCCGCCGTGTGACACACCTACATTCCTTTGAGGATCCGGGCCTCAGTCTCTGCAGACTGCAGCTGCTCGGGTCCGGCTGGAAGCATTGCATGCTGGGACCTGTTGTCGCTGCAGACCACTCCCCGTAAGAGGGGAGAGCAGCGGAGATGTTACCAGGCTATCGATGCTCTGACCGCTGTACCGTGAGGGTATTTCTACACTGCAATCAGAGACCCAAGGCAGGAGCTGTGGCCAGCCCGGGGCAGCCGACTCCGGCTAGGGCTGCGGGGCTATGAAATTGCAGCGTAGATGTTCAGACTCTGACTGGAGTCTGGGCTCTGGGTCCCTCCCTGTGGGGTCTCAGAGCCCAGGAGGCACATGGAAGAAGGGATCCGCGGGTTCCTTTCTAAGGACGCTGCTGAGGAGTGGGGCTGTGTAGGGAGAGGTACCAGAGTGAAGCTGGAGGGAGACCGGGGCCTGCCAAGGCAGGGAATGGCTGCTGGGAGTGAGCAGACTCCAGGCAGGGAAGGCCTGGGAGCTCCCAGCGGGACGCCTGGGAGCACAGCTTTCACAGGGATTGGAGAACTCCATTTGGGGAATTATTTTGTTAGCGTAAGAAATCCAGGCTCAAGGAGGGGTGTGGCTGACCTAGGAGGGGTGTGGCTGAGCTAGAGATAAGTTTGTGTGGGGGGTTCTTAAAGGGCCCTGAAGAAGGGAAACAGAGGCAGAATGCCGCAGGTCCAGCTCTGGCCACGAGCGGGAGCTCAGGAAGCAGCCGACCCTGTGACAATTGTATTGTCTCTCGGTGATTCCAGGGGCCTGACCTGGAGGGGTGCTAGGCGCCTCCAGCTCCCATTGACTTCCTCTGGAGCACTGGCCGCTCAGATCTTCTGAACATCAGGCCCTGTGTCAGATCCATAGGACCAGGAGAGCAGCTAGTCTGACCCTGTAGCGGGGTGGTTACCCGCTCCTGCCCTGGAGGAGGGCTGTGGAAGGGCAAGGTGCCTGGACTGATTGGGAGGAAGCAGGCTCAGCTGGGGCCATGCCCCAATCAGGGCCCAGTTGGCCCTATAAAGGCCTGAGCTCAAGCAGGCAGTCTCCCTCTGTTTGTAGAGGGAGATGGGCCTGGCTGCAGGGAGCTAGACACAGGGTACCTGAGTGGAGCAGGGCTGGGGACAGGCTGGGGAGCTCCAGCCTGGAAAGCCCCAGGCTGCGGCCTAGCAAAAGGCAAATAGGTACTGGGGGTTGCAGAGGGCAGCCCAGAGCTAGGCCAAGGCAGCAGGTCCAAACCCAGCCTTGCCGATGATGAGTGGCTTATACTGCAGTCTGCCCTAGGGAGCGGGGGTAGTTGGTGACTGGCAGTGGCCTTATTCTGAGGCAAGGTGGGGCTAGTGGGTGGGGATTCCCTGGGGAGGGGAGACCCTAAGACTGAGGGGTTACTGCCAGGGGGCAGCACCCAGAGAAAAGGGGCACCGGGGTCCTGGGAGGGACATGGGGCCAGCGGCAAGGCGGATCACTGGCCTGCAGAGGGTGCTCCAAGGCTGGCAGAGCTAATTCCCAACAGAGACCAGCAGGAGGCGCAGCGGGGTGAGTCCCGCACTGTTACAGACCCTCCTGCATATCACAGGCTGTTACATTTCCCCCAGATCGCCTGACACTGAGCCCACTCACTTTAGTTAGGCTAAAGCATTTCAATCCACCGTTGCGAGGAAAAGACTGGTTCTTCAAACTGCCATCCCGGCAAGCGCCCCCGCAGTGGTGTGCGCCAGTGAGGGCTGGTTCACACCCTGCTGCAGCCCTGATTTAACGGAGTCCGTTTGGAAAGCCATTTAGTTCAATTGGTGCAATCCTCTTACATGCACACTCTGGGTTTGGCAGCCGAGTGCTTTCTACTGATTGGCTTCAATGGAGGTGTCAATACCGAGAGGGAAAATTGCTTTTGTGGTGAGCCAGCCACTCCCAGTCCCTATTCAAGCCCCAATTGGTGGTGGTAAGTTTGCAAATGAATTGTAGCTCATCAGTTTCTCTTTGAAGTCTGTTTTTTGGAGTTGTTGTTGAAGGATGGCTACTTTTAAATCTGTTATTGAATGTCCTAGGGAGATTTTTCCCTGCAATTTTCCCTCTCTTGATATTGATACCTCCATCAATTATTGGGAGTGGATCACATCCAACCTCATTGAATTGGCCCTGTCAACACTGGTTCTTCACTTGTAAGGTAACTCCCTTCTCTTCATGTGCCAGTATATTTATGCCTCTCTCTGTAATTTTCACTCCATGCATCTGAAGAAGTGGGGTTTTTTACCCACAAAAGCTTATGCCCAATCTATGTAATAGATACACTTAGATTAGATTATTTGCACAATGCTCTGCAGATACGTGCTTATTATTAGCACTAGCCTCGTGCACATCGACTAGCCCAGCAATGAGCATGCCGCCCGCTCTCCCTGTTCAGAGCCCCGCCCCCGCTTGAGTGGCCACAGCCCCTTCCCCAGCGGCGGATGGTCTCACCAGTGATATTTGGGGCTATCTGATAGTAGGGTCGCTGGCAGGAGTACCGGATCCCTGAGCGGTACGTGGTGAGATTGTTCCTCGTGGCGAAGGTGACGGACCCATGTTCCAGCTCCACTGGTGCTTTGCAGTCAGCAACTAAAAGTCCACAAGGAAAGGAGATTTTAGTAGTCTACATACATATCCCGCCGTAGCAGGCTCTGCCCACTGCCTCTGTTGGGTATTGCTGCATGGCTTGCCCCAGGGGAGCTCGAAAGGGGGTTGTATGTCAGCTGGCCTGCCAGCCCTCCCAGAGCTAGGCCGGCAGCAGGTGGGGATGTGTGCGCGAGTGAGATAGTTTTAACCCTTCGGGCACTGAGGAGGGGTATATCTGTCTTTAGTTCCTCGTCTTTCCCTTTCCTTCCAACAGGCCCTCTCAGCCCTTTCCCATTGGAATCGCTCCCATTGAAGACCTGGCCCTGTTGAAGTCAGTGGGAATTTTGGCATTGATTTCAACAGGCCATGATTTCACGATTTAGCCTCGCCACACAACATCTTGCAATATGCCCCCTACCAACCCTTCCCTCTGTGAGTTTGCCCACTCCATCCCTACGCAGGGCAATGGTTTTCTGTGATGAACCGTAACTCCAGTCAGTCTGTGTGCAGATATGACTCTGTCTAAGTCCAGGTCACTGATGCAATGAACTAGCCAGTGTGTACGTGCACCCTTGTGTTGCACTGGATTGCTCAACTGTGTGTCATAGGCATTATACTGCTAATAGCTAAGGGAGATTCTCTTTTGGCTCCAGTGGTAGGGCCTGGCCTTTGGGATGAGGAGACTCTGAGTTCTAGCCCTGCTATTACTGTCAAAGTCTGAGCTACTGTGGTGTGTATTGTAGTGTTAACTGAAATCACTAGGCAGCTATGGATTTGTTACCATAAAATCCCTATATATTCCTGGTTAGGGAATGAATACTGCACAGGTGAGTAGGAGCTAACCGGTCAGACATGCGTGTCAAAGGGGTTCTGATGGCATCACGGGAACTCTGCGAATGAACTGCGAAGAGTTCATGCCATTGCTGGACTGAGTACTGCATGTGGCGCTCGGTACCTGGGCTGTGGTTGGATTCTCAAAAGATCTGACCATGTTCAGAGCTTGTAGACACTCAGTTATGACACTTTGCCTTGCTTCCTGATGAGTATTCATTCCCATCAGAGCCTGGGAAAGGCAGGCATTGGTGTAATCATGACCAGCCGGGCCCAGACAAGGGGGGATCCCATACTAAACACGTCAGTAGCTTTATCTGGCTGCACAGTTGCTGGTGGACGAATACCTAGAATTGTCAGGCAGCAAATTAATCACTAGAAGGAGCAATGCAGGCCCAGGAACATAACCAGCACAGGAGCAAACTAATGAGATAAACCCAGGGGCAGGAGGATGTTCAAAGGGCAGGCCCTGCTCATACGAACCCCTAGTTTCATAAAGCCTATGAAAAAGGCCACTTGATCTTTAAAGATCCTATGGCAACTTGGTGCAGTAAGCAGGATGTCCTCTGAATTCTGATCCTCTCAATGGGCTGCTACTGATTGTGACACCTTAGCCCGCACTATGCTCGGCACTGTACAAACACAGGGTGAGAGATGCTGCCTGCCCCGATGAGCTTACGCGCTGACTAGAAGACGGACAGACACAGGGTGGGAGGCGACCAGAGGCAGGAAACGCCCGGTACAATGTCATTCAGTAAGTCAGGTCAGAGATGGGAAGAGAACCCACATGTCCCGGATCCCAGCCCATTGCCTCGCATTGCGGCTTGGATTCGTGCTTTTGCTTAAACGTGGGCTTTTGTTGTACCTCATCCCCCACTTTGTCTAGAACTCAGCCCTGCAAGCGCTGCCAGAAACCAACAGAACGACTCCCCTAGCAAGCACCACGCCAGCTAGGAAGTGTTTGAAGGATCAGAGACTTAGGTTTTGTCTCCGCTGTTACCACCCTGAAGTTATGAGCTAGCTTAGTGTCAGTGAGAGCGACCACGCTGCAGAATAATACCGGGGCGACACAGCGCGATTGGGTCAGCCGCTGATGAGTTGTTAACACCAGCAGGAGTCCCATGCCCACTGCATTAGTAGCTGGGGCAGCAGTAAGACTTGAGCTTCCACCATGCCTGAAACATGTCAGTTTAAAGCCCCACTGAACTTAAGCCGAGATTTGTGTGCGTGGATGGGAGTCAGGGTAGCGGCAACACTCAAGTTATACTTCGAGCTAACATGCTGGTTAAGACAAGCTCTGCGAATTCTACAACTTGAGAAGGGGGGAGGGATAGCTCAGTGGGTTGAGCATTGGCCTGCTAAACCCAGGGTTGTGAGGTCAGTCCTTGAGGGAGCCATTTAGGGAACTGGAGTAAAAATCTGTCTGGGGATTGGTCCTGCTTTGAGCAGGGGGTTGGACTACATGACCTCCTGAGGGCCCTTCCAACCCTGATATTCTATAGCAAGACTGCCCATTCTGCTGGACAAGGACATCATATTTGTCTCTGAGCTGCATAGCACATTGTTAGCGCTCTATACATAATAATCCGCCAAGGGGCCACATTTTTGATGTCTGAGTCGCGCAACTGGCGTTCTAGGAAAAAAATGGATCTTCACAGTAAAACCAGACACACCCCGCATCACTTCCAAACTTCCTCCCCTGCCGTTTTATTTTCTTGCCTCTTCCTGGCTGGGGCTTTGTCACGTTTTAAAGTGGCAACACGTTTGGGTTGGAAAGGGAGGCTGTTGTCATGACTCTGGGGCTAATCAACATCTGTGGTGACCTGTTGACCATGAGCAGGAACGCCGGGGTGTTCTAGGAAAGCCCAGGGGAAACGTATGCTGTTGTTGTTAATTATTATTGTTTGTATTACGGTATCACCTAGGAACCCTAGTCATGAACCGGGGCCGCATTGTACTAGGCACTGTACACACACAGAGAACCGCCTGTAGTTACTAAGCTGCACAGAACAGAATGTTCATAGACTACAGTCAAACTGGCTATGAGAACCGTGGTGAGGTCTCTAAGATCAGCGCTCTCTTACCTGGTAAGCTTGGGTACCTGCCTGGGGGAGCTGAGGGCCCAGGCAGAGATGGGCACTGGCTCGGTCTGCCACACGATTGGTTTTCAGTAGAGGCTCTGAGTTACAGGTGAGCAATGAGCCTCTTGGAAAAGAATCACCAAACAAAGAGGGGTAGGGTGGTGTTGTCCGAACAACTCTCTCCAGACAGACACACTCTGCCTTCTTTCTCCGCTCTGCCTTTGCTTGTGGCACTCCTGGATGTCAAAGCCATCTGGGCTGAGACTACAGATTATGCCCTTTATGACCAGAAAGCCCTAACCCTAACCCTTTACCATCAGGAGTTAGAAGGGACCCAGACAGCCCTGGCTATTCAGGTGTCTGTATGCAGCAGTATTCTGGCGTTACCAGCGTGTATCAATCAATGCCCCCCACAAGATATTACCACTGGGGATGACAGTAATGCTGTCACACCATTCCCAGGGCCTCTGCCTTCAACTGCCGGTACTTTCGGGCCTGTGCACACTCAGTTGCACCAGTCGCTGAGCCTCTGCTTCAAAACACTGCGCAAGAGTTGAGTGGCACCTGAGCAGACTTGGTTATGAGTCGTTGAGGGTGGGTTTGCAGTAGGAGAAAGACTGTGGTCTCTTGAGATGGACAGCAAAAGGGGAGGGTCAGGAATGGAGAGACAGTGGTTATCCAGAGATGGCAGCTTCTTCTGCACCATCATCGTGATCTTCCTCCTCCTTTCAGTCTCATGCTGCCCGCTGTGGGGAAAAGGCCTCCAGTTAGCAAGGTCTTCAAGCTGCCAGAGACGTGCCGGGTCACAGGCCTTCCTCATGAACGACGAGTGGTGCGGAGTGGTGCTGGCAGCAATGGCCCGAGGATGTGGCCTTCTCAGGGTGTTGAAATCTGCAGAATCTAGAGCCGGGATCTAGTTCTCCTCTGCTCACCCCTCACAATGTCTGCTCCCAACCCCTGCTGCTACTGGAGGAGACAGTCGGTACAACCTGTGACCCAGTGGCCATTTGTACCCTTCATAAGAATGACCTAACCTGATTCCTGTCCCTCCAGGGTGCCTGTGTTATGAAGAGAATTTGCATTGGATTATGGATGGAAAATGTTGTGCCTTGTGACTTGTACACGCAGGGTTTGCCTCAGGCCTGTCTTTGCAGGGAGGTGGTGTTCGGGTGGCATGGGGTAAAGTGAAACTCCAGCGAAGACCCCTTTTCACTGGCCTGGCACTACCCCGTTGGGGAGCTCTCTGAGGCGTTACAATAATGCTGATTCCAGGCCTTAAATATTACTGAGGTTTGTGTCACAGTGTAGGCCCCAGGAACCTAAGAACAACCATGCTGGTCACACCAATAGTCCAGCTAGCCCAGTATCCTGGCTTACGACAGTGTCCAGTGCTAGGTGCTTCAGAGGGAATGAGCAGAACAGAGCAATTTATTGAGTGATCCATCCCCGGCCGTCCAATCCCACCTTCTGGCAGTTAGAGGTTTAGGGACACTCAGAGCATAAGGTTGCATCCCTGACTATCTTGACTAATAGCCATTAATGGACCTATCCTCTGTGAGCTTTTTCCATTCTTTTTTGAACCCACTAATACTTCTGGCCACAACATCCCCTGGCAATGAGTTCCACAGATCGATGGGCGTTGTGTGAAGGATACTTCCTTATGCTTGTTTTAAACCTGCTGCCTATTAATTTCATTGGGTGACCCCTGGTTCTTATGTTATGAGAAGGGGTAAATAACACTTTTTCTCCACACCAGTCTTGCTTTTATAGACCTCTATCATATCCCTGTTAGTTGTCTCTTTTCTAAGCTAAACAGTCCCAGTCTTTTTAATCTCTCCTCTTATGGAAGCTGTTCCAGACCCCTAATCATTTGTGTTGCCCTTCATTGTACTTTTTCTAATTCTACTATATCTCTTTTGCGATGGGGTTGACCAGAACTGCATGCAGTATTCAAGGTGTGGACGTTCCATGCATTTATACAGTAGCATTATGATATTTTCTGTCGTATTATTGATCTTTCCTAATGGTTCCTAACATTCTTTCAGCAACCTAGCAGATGCAGAGTCCTGGGAACAGAGCAAAGGGGATGGG